AATTTCTTCGTCTCCGAGGAGATTCTTTGAGCCTGGGCTGACACGAGGTCATTATTGATTCAGCAGGAGGAGTAGGGTCGAACCCTCCGAACACGCCTCTCCCGTTAAACGCCAGACATCAGACCCGAAGTTCTGGAGCACGGCTTTCTTTTTGTTGGTATCGTTACTGGAATTTAGTGCATCAGGACTTCGCGAAAGTTTATATCACCTCCTCCTGTATGCCTCTAATTCTAAATCTGAAACTTAATTGTTCAATCTTTATGTATTTTCTTAGCAACATCTTATCATTAATGACGATTCAGTAATTTCACAGTTTACGACAGTAATTTACTTTATTTTGAATTTTTTAACCCTTGTTGGTATTTTAATGTAATCTTTATTTTGCAATTGGAAACGCCAAGTGAGTATAAACCTATATTTGTTTATGTTGTAACGAAAAGAAAAAATGTATAACAGAATACCATGAAATAATATTGAAAATTGATCAATTTTCGTAATCCAAATCATTATAGTTCACTTATTATACGATTTAAGCTTAAAATTGTCTGACTTAGTACCACACATTTTATTCAGGTAACAAAGGGTTAAACCGTACTATACCGCACTAATCAAAGCTACACTAAGTGAGGTATTGCTGTATACATATTTCTAAGATTAAATGGTTTTTAAATCACATTATTCGACCAAAAATATTATACTACAAATTTAATTTTTATAGCATTTTCGAGTGAGGGTGTGTGTATGGGTATTGTTACTTTGTGCTCGACAGTATGCAAATTATGAATAAATTTGCGTCTTTGAGAGGGGTGATAAGACTAAACCGAATTGATATTAAAATAAGATATGCGTGTCCCCTAAGGAAAGCCTTTCAACAACGCTTTTAAATGGACTTTTAGAAGCACTAAAGACCGACAAGATCGAGCGGTTTGATGGACGTAAACTAGAGCATAAGATTAACTTTAATTTAACTGTAACCGTTTTGCTTCGTAATTCATTTATATTGATAGTTTTGTAGCATATTTTCAAAAGATAATATTGTGCAAAGTGTATTTACATAGTAATTTTATAAACAAATTTATCTACAAACAATTAAAGTAAAAAATAATAATGCAGAGAAGGCTAAAATTTTATATCTGATCGTAGAAATGTTTACTTTTCAAATTTTCTATTGTGAATCCGGACTGATCGAAGACGTACTATGCGAGGTGTTACATGAAAACATAAATTTTATTTGTATTTGATAATTATTGTCTATTAAATTGTTGCTTTTGTAATTGAATTGTATGCGTTTAGCAAATTGTATTTGTTGCAGTTTAACAATTTGCGAAGTCAGATAAATCATGAATCCGATTAGGTAGAACTCGTCGCTTTGGCGAAGCTACATCAGCACGTATTATCACTGCAATCCATCACCCATATCTAATTACAGTTAGTTACTACAAATCCTAACCTGTGTGCTATTATGTACCGAATGCTAAGAGGATTCCTACCAGGACTAGTTGCATCTACATCAACTACTATATACTACATAAATCTAATGGCTTTAAGGAAAACAGATTTCGAGAATAATTATGTAAGAGAAAACTGTAATACTTTATCAGTTTTAAATTCATTTTTATTGATTTTTATATAAGTTAGAATTTATACTGTTTATGTGAGATTGTTGCTCTTTAAGCCAGTACATGGTATATCAATATTATGTAATATTCATAAAAAGTATTTACAGCTTGTAACAAAATATTTTAATTTGAGTTTTCGCAAAATTATAATTGTGATCGCAGAATGTTACGTAAACATTCATGAAACAAACAAAAAAAAAATAGCAAATAGCAAAGTTAACGTTAGGAGTTTGTGAAGTTTCTGTTAGTCCCGTGTCAACTGAAAGTTTCTTATTCCATTTGCAACAATGGCTATTATGAAATACTTACGGTATACTTGCATTGTGTTATATCCATTAATTGTCTCAAGAAAACGGTAATAATTTGAAGAATCAACGAAAGCTACCAGATTCTATTAATCTTCAAAGACACCGAAAATATATATTAAATATTTGTATATAATTTATGAAGAGATAAATTATTCAGATTTTCAAATGATTTTTTCTCAAGACTACTATGATTTAGTACTATTTTATTAGAACCGGACTAATCGAGGTACTAAATACTTTAAAATGAATATTGTTTACTGTATTTTATAGAATTAATTTAGATTTTGCTCAATTGGTTTTGAAATTTTCAAAGCGGTCTATAGTGAATCCGCACTGATTGAAGCCCATAATGTGGTGATGGTTACTGTCCTTGGGATTTGAAATAAATTATAAATAAATATAGGATATAAACTAACAAGTAGTTAACTCTTTGATGGACGGTGCATTATTATAATTTTCTAGGAAATGTCCAAAAAGAGGAATTTTTCTATAATTTGGTTAGTATGTTAAAGGATGAATCTCGATAGGCCATACCATACCATCCGAAGTTGATTCATTCTGATTAAGTTGTTTAGAAATTTAGGAATTTCTGATTCCTCAAAGAGGTAAAACCTCGGGTCAATAAGGACTATGTAATAATATGAATTATGAATAAATATCATCTAGTATTTATTTAATTTTCGTATAGTTTAGCATCATGTATAGCAATAAATATTAATAAAATGCGTATAAACTTTGGTCGTTAGTCCTTTGACGTAATATAGAACCACTAAATAATTAATAATAATACAAATAGTTGTTAATTAATAATCGATTTGAATATGAATATAGTTTAATTATAAGCTATTTGCTTGTAGAAGTTGAACGATAGTTGGGGCTGATGGTGGTGCTTGAGATGGGAGGTGCTGTGTCCAAATGCAATTTAGTTAAGTAGACACTTGCTACGAGGGAATTGGAAATGCGAGGCGAATGAAAGATGCAGTAATTGGTGCAGCGAAGGGAACGAAGTTTCTGATGGCCGTGATGGTGAGAGATGAAAAGAGAAGAGATGGATGATCGTATTCACACGTCCATGAATATGGAATTCTGTAAGTGGAGCATCGGTGGTGGTGTTGGGCGCGGATCTTCATAAAGCCGCCATCCATGGATGGAATTCGACGGATCGCGAGAATGCTCATCGGCAAATGCTATATATATATATTATACTGGAAACCACCCACGACCACCATCCTCCCACCTATCCTATCCTCATTTCGACTAGAGCCACGACCGCAAATACAACTACTTTATTACTGGTATTAAACTAATTTCAACTGTCAGAACCAATGACCGCGGCAAGAACTGTCTGCTACTAATTAACCCGGCCGCTATTACCGCGACCTCGTTACTTTTTACTGCAACAAAGAAACAACTCGAGAATATTTAATATAGAAAAGCGACGCCGAACTGCATTAAACTATTTAAGCGAATTCGAGTCTAATTAAAAAGTACAATTTTGTTCTTCCAACTAACACAAAAAAAAATAAAAATTCTTTGTGTAAATACTGAACGAAACGTTCATTACTAAGTAAAACCATTTCACAGAAACTTCTATCTAATTAAAAGAAACATTTGTTTTATAGATTTTTTGCAAAAAAAGCAAATCTTACAAATTAATGATGTCTTGAAAAAAAAATAAATTCATTAATTAGCAATTACAGTTTTATGTAACGATTTGTAACTTCAAAATATCTATTATATTTTAACATCAGATTACATACATCAAAATCGAAATACATAGCAAATCATTATTTCCATATATGTCAGAAAAAACAATATTGTTGTACGTGTTACAGATACACTACTTTTTATAATTTAAGATCAAAATTGTAATGTTATATATTTTCTTTATAGGTGGACAAATGTAATCTTTTAATCTTTAGTCAAAGTTCACATATTTAGATTTTTTTTAATTACTTACTGTATACAATTATATTGTTTATTTTATATAAAAGTAAATAAAATATCTGTTTTGAATGATATACAAAAGTTAATAAAACCTTTATATAAAAAAAAATATAAAAAGTTATTGTAGATAATTTAGTGTAAAAATCAATTAGTATTAGTATTGGTTTGCATATAATAATATTGTTATTCATACGTTAACAATGGTTTATAACTAATAAATTTGCAATGCTTTTGGACTATATTCAAAAGAAAACTTTTATTGTGATAATACAAACCAATTAATTTGAGAATTCTCATTAATTATTTCAAATATTTGTTGGCATGTAATAGTTGATTAGCATTAAATAGATTTGTACATCCTTTGTGACCATAGCAATAAATTAATATGGACAAATATACTGTAACACGATAACACTCGTGTACATAAAAAAACACAAGATATACCAATCTTCAACCCGCTAGGGCGTGAGTCCGTGACGTGGGAAGGTTCAGGGCGCCACTTCCTTTTATAGAGAGGAAGAACTCTAACAACTGCTTCCAGATCAGCAACTTCTTCTCCGACGGTGGGCCTTAGCTCCTCTAGAGCACCAACACCGTCCTCTTGGAGATTACAAATATATCAGAATATCTTCTTAAACTGGAGACCTCAACCGTCTTCTTTCGCGGTTCGCTGCGGTCTCCTCGAATTTTGGAAACATAGTTGCAACGTGGAGCGCACTTGCAGCGTTGTCGATTTTACCACGTTACAATACAGATAATTCGAATAGATAGTTCTTTAAAACGATTTGAATAACTGAATTATCTGTAAATATTATTCAGCTGATTTTAATTGCATTTAAGATTATAATTTGAGAAGTCTCATTAATTATTTCAACTATTTGTTAACATGTACAGAGATGATCTATGCAATTAACATTAAATAAATTTATAGGTCCTTTGTGACCGCAGCAATAAATTAATCTGGACAAATGGAACTCATCAAATGAAGGTTAAACTGTCTGCTGTTTTATACTTTCTCCTTTATATATTCTTTTTAATGGGCTCAGAGAGGAGGTGGTTGTGTGTGCATAAGAGAGATAGACCGAGATGTTTTTTTTGGGTTAGAATTGAAAGTGGAATTACTCACTTCGGTGAGCTTTGTCCGTCGGGTCTCGCCTTAGAATGACCCTCCTTTGGGCCGCAGTGGAAGGCCCCGAATCCACGTCGTGTATTACGATGCGGATGGCCTCGGCGTCGACGGATGCCTGTCGTCGGGGTGCAGCCTCCAAATCCTCAAGGGCCGGAGTCGGCCTTGGTGCAACCATTGTGCGCATACCGCCTATATCTGGCCTAAAAATATAAAAAACAAATCAAAAGTTAGTTTTCTACTGGTTTCAGAATTATTTATAGATTAACTGACAACATTTGATTATGTCAATGTATAAATTAATTATAGTTTAAATACTATAAAATAGTATTATATTAATGTGTAGGACTTTAGCAAAAGTATGGTTCTAGAAGTAAAACCATGATATTATTGTTTTAAAAAAATGTCTACAAACATGCAAGTTTAGGTTCAAATACAATATGAAATAAATGTTAACTTTTTAAATTAATATGATTCCATAATATAAATGAAGCGAGGAATAAGTCTATGACTTTTAAAGGCTGATTTATTACTTGTTTAATTTATATTAAGATGTACACTACTTATACGAATGCACGCTTCAATCATTAGTCACTATCCAAATTCGAGTTTGCCAGGTTATTTTCAAGTGAATCCCGATTTGCGTTGTGGAAAAAGCAGTGATTCACAAAAACTTTGTTATTTCTTATTTCATTTTCGATTTTTAAGAAAAAAAGTACTATCTATCTTAATTATAAAAAAATGATTAATTAATAATATATTAATAATTCTATACTTTATAAATGTTTGAATATATGACTATACAAATGTGTGTAAGTTTAGAGCTGACGATTTCAATTTACCGTCAATATCAGCTTCTATTATTACCCCACAAAAATTGTTGTAGTCAGACAGTGTTGTCATTGCAAAATTCCATTAACTTCCAAGAATGTTTAATTTTTAGTCGACATAAAAAATCCACTTGGAAATGCTTTTTGACGATAAACCGTATAAATGTTGGGAGGATGGAAAAGCTGTATACATAATTAAAAATGTATGTATGGATATAAAAAAAGATTTTGAATTTTCGTGAAAAATCGGCAAATTAGTTTTCTTCATTTGCTCAGTTTTAAGTAAATTTCTATTAAAAGTCGAAATAAATATTACCATTTTGATATTTTGTCCCAAATTTAAATATTTAATGAACTTTGTGTAAATAAAAATAAAAGAATATTAATAGTTTAGTAAAAAAATCAGAATAGGAATATTCTTTCAATAAATAAATTATTAAATTTATATTTATCATAACTATACAAAAGTAAATGTATTATAAGTATTGATTATAAATAGGATTAATGCGTTTTCAAAACAATAACGAAATTGATTTGCTGTTGATGTATATCTTATTTATATTGCATTTTTGCATAAATAAAGTAATCATGGTGAAAACCGTTCTGAAAACAGTTGACGTGAAATTGTAATAAATCCAATTACGTTTGATGAATGAAAACCAACAACAACAACAAACACATATATAAAAAAGAGTAAATTGTAAATATGCGATGCATGTGCGAGGTTTTCTGCGCAAATCCGCCGATGATAAAATCAACATTGAAACTAAAACTATCAGGATAAGAGAATGGGAGCTGCAGCTTCGATCCAAACAAGGTTTCAATTATAGTCGGTGGCGTTTGAAAATACAAGAAATAAGAGTATAAAATAAACGTAAAGAGGTTAATGGGAATGCGAATCCTTGATAAATGAACCGCATAATCCATTCAGGATTTCCTCCTATTCACGATGCATTAATGAACACGATTCAATTAAGAGTACAAATAAACAAACAAAACATATAAATAATTGGATCTAATGATTTACAACTTAATTAGAATAAAAATGTAATTTAAAAAAAATGTTATTTTGGAATACTATTTTTATTTTAAATAATCTACATATGTTTAATGTATGTTTGATAATACATTTACAACTTTCTGACTGAAGTAGTCTACTTATATCCTTACTAACATACAAATATGCACACGAACGTACACAAATTTATATGAATGTATAAAATATAAGTTCAATTTACTTTTAATACGTCAAGGTAGAGTTAACAGTATTTATAGTTTACAGTTATACGTCTTTTTGTAGTCGCTGAAGATTTGTTATGAGTTTACTTTTATAAATTTGAATAATGTAATATAAAAAACTGTCGTGTCCCGGGATTCAAATATCTCTAGACACTGTGGAATAGCTCGTAGTTATGTTGTTGTGGAGTCCTAGTGGAGTTTTAAAGGAATGCTAGAGGTGAAGTTGGAGTTTTTATGATAATAAACACTTTATTATTCACTATAAGATTATTAATAACTTCTATGTCTAGATTTCAGTTGCTAAGTTTGTAACTAGGACTCGGGAGGACTCTCCTTTAGGACTAAAACTAAATTGGACTAGCGAGTAGCAAGGACATTCTAGGACTCGGATTCCATTTGTATTACATAAACATCCTAATATATAGTAGTGAATTAGCACAATATTTGGTAAGGAAAGATATGGAATATTTTTAATGAATTATTTAATGAGACATCGCTCAATTAACCAATGTGTTTAACGTATGTTTGATAATACATTTTCAACTTTCTAACCGAAGTAATTTACTTATATCCTTACTAACGTACAAATATTCGTATGAACGTACATATATCTATGGTGAATTAAACTTCTATACGTTAAGGTAAAATTGATAGTATAACTAATTTTCAGTTAGACGTATTTTTGTAGTCGACAAAGATTAGTTATGAGTTTTCTCTTGTAAATTTTCTGCATTGTATATTATGTAGAATTATATACTGGGGTGGATGTGCACAGAGTTGGCGTAGGGCGGAGGAACAGGAAAAATCGAATGGGATTTTGAAACTGCGCCGCACACGTCACATGCACTTTGACACTTCCGCCCATGATAGCGTTTGGTGTGACAATGGAAATATGAAAGCTTTATACATAAAAATCCGTTTAACGTTCTCACGCTACCCGGAAAAGCCGCTTTGTGTAAAAAATGCGGAGCGGTGGGCCAAAAGGGGTGAAGGATTTCACAACGCACAAAAATGCGAAATCACTACACATTATAATAAAAAAAATATGAATAATGAATATATTTACAAGTGGTATATATTTCCAAATATAACAACCACACATAGAGCGTGTTTGAAACCGGACTAATCGAGGACCTTAAACCGTTCATAAATAAACCGCACAAAAACAGACTTGACTGCATTTTGTCAAAAAAAGATCATTTATGTATAAAAAAAATAATTTAAAAACAATAAATTTAGTTTATTTTAAACTTGTCAAACCGTATTATAGTGAATCCGTACTGATCGAAGCAGCACTATGCAAGATATTGCTGTATTTCATGTAGTGTTCTGTAATTGTGGTAAATTTATTCTTGATGTGCAGAAAAAGTTATGAACTTGATTTGTAGTTCTCTTTTCATTTGAATGCGATAATTTCTAATTAATTAGATTTTAAATATGAAATTACCAAAGAACATTTAATTGATTTCCATTCCATAATACCTAGGTAGAAGAAAATTAATATTCAATTTGGTATTCAAATTTAAGTTTGTTGAATATAAATTAAGGATAGAATAATTATGTTTTCCTTCTTTTAAGTATTTCAATTTCATTAACTTTAATAGAAAATGAATATTAAATTTAGTAGGTGAATTATTATTATAATAAAAAAAATAATTCTTATTTGCATATAAATATTATAATAAGAATTGTAGATGCAAATCGTACAATATATTTGATAATAAATGGAGCTGGTTTATACCAAGAATTGAAAAGCCTACGCGAAATGGAAATTTCATTAAGGATTCGAGGAATATATAGAGAGTTTAGCTAACAATGCACGTTCGTTTTTAGATGAAAATAGAAAGGAACTGTACGAAATATAAATGAAATAAAAAAGAAATAGAGAGAACATGTAAAATGTAGAAGAATACGGGATGAAACATGAATACTCTGGAGTAGAAAAGGGGGAAATGGTTGTGTGTATGTGCGTGAATATGTATGTTTTGTTGTATAAACGTTCTTTAAAATTTTCTCAATTTGGATGGGCATACGAATACAATGGAGTTGCTTTTTCGCTGTTGCCGATGTATGAGAGAGTTGTGTTAGAGGTGGAAGAGAAGGAGTTCTGTAGTTTAGGTTTCGCTTGGATGGTGGAGGGAATAAAAGGAGAGAAAGGTTTTGGGGGGGAGGAGAAGCGATTCGAGGCAGATTTCCCAATTTCCTGCTCCGATTCCCGTTCCTGCATGCACACACACACATACACCTGATGTTATCTGCGTGTGCACCTAGCACAATCCAGGCATCATAAAATCAATAAACACCCCTCCGCAGACGCGGACGAAAATTTTGCAACGTGTTGCCGGATCCCCAGGACTCCCATTCCATATAACATCCATATACATATATAAAAATATGCTTTTTTTTTCGTACCCTTCGCGTTCCTTTACATATATTTCAATGTGTTTTTATAATGACCCTTAAAAACATACATTCATCACAGCTGCAACGAATATTCGAATGTAAATCGACAAAAAATCTACTCATATTAAAAAAAGTAATGTACTTGCAGCAAGATATTAATTCATGGTTTTTTACTGTCGAGAATCAGGACCACATTCAAGATCCTGGTTAGGGTTTATACAAAAATCGACTTAAAAAAAACCGGTGTTCGAATCCAAACTTTTCTACAAATCCGGTTTTAGAATTTTCACAAGAAAATAGAAAAAAGGGATTTTTACAACTTATTCTCTATTGCACATACAACATTTACTGAAATAGAAAAAGGCTTTCACTTACTAGAAAGCTAGTTGCAATTATAAAATTATGTTTTCTTACATTATTCATCTTTTGCTATATTTCAATAAGATATAAATTAATTGAAAAATAATAGTTTCTTATAATCCCGGCGCTTCCATCAAATCCATCTCAGATTTTTTTTTGTCATAATTTTATGAGAGCAATCTTTCGGCAACAGATTGAAGTCTTAATATTCGTTATTCTCTTTGTACCTACTAATTTCACATCTTCTGGTTCTTGAAGATGTTTATGAATTGATTTCTTTCCCGATTTTTCATCATCGCAGTCATCTTGTATTTAATAATTTGGATGCAATCTTGATAATATTTGTCCAAAACCTTAATGAAGCTAGTGAA